AATGACAGAAAAAATCCAGAAAATGACGTAAAATATAACCCAGAAATGTAATATGGAGGGCCCGGATTTTGATGACCTGAAAATATTTAAAAAATGACAGAAAAAATCCAAAAAAATGGCCTAAAGGAGAAAAAAGAACACTTCGCTTCCATGTTATTCACATTTCAGAAAACATATGAAGAGAAATTCCCTAAAATGGCAAAAAAGACAAGAAATACCCTTAAAAGACCAAACATTTACCAAAAAATTACCTTAAACCTAAAAATGTCAAAAAATGACAAATAATTACGTATAAAATTTACATTTCTGTAACCAGCAGCTAATATCCAATATTTATATATTTAAGAGCATCGCATAGGATACAAGGATAAAAAGATGACATGTCATCAAAATCCGGGCCTGGTAATGGAATAGTTGACATTAGAAGAGCGGGATAACTTCATACATTTAATTTGGGGGTAACAAGGAGTCGCTCTAATGTTACCAAACATCTGTACAAATCAACAAAATAAAATATTTCTTCATTTACTCATGCTTCTATATATGATTCATTTCTCTTGTTTCTCACTTCTCCTCAACTCCAGAATTATGATGCCAAGCAATACGTGTTCTCGACCTGTTTCAGGTGAACATCCTGCTGCAATTCAGTACGGCGGACAGCTGAGACTGCAGTACCCCGTCAGCGTGTTCCTCCTCAGCGTCGTCGTCACGCTCATCGGTTCCTGAATACCAACAGTTCTAATCGTTTTACCATGTTTCTTCTGATGTCGTTTCAACGTGTTGAGCATTGTACAAGCTACTATTACAAACAATTAAAATATTTATATTGTGAACAAAATATGAGCAGTAGAACCACAGGAAGCAGAGTGGAGACTCAATACTATGTTTCAAGCTGCCATTTTGTTTGGTCTTTATACCCTCCAGAAAAGAACTGGTCATTATAAATGGGTAGGTCCTGTATGTATAGGTTTATCATCTCGTTATATGAGAACTTTCTGATTAATATTAGTTTGACAATATATTGCCGTATATAAACATATTGACGGGCCGCTACGCACGCCATATCCATATTAAAACTGGGAATAACTCTAGAGGACTATACATCCAGAGACACAAGGGATTTCTTTGTTTCTCACCTTCTTCCCTTTATAAGATTACTATTTGCGTGATTGTTTCCATACACGTTCAGGAAGTTGCATTAGACAGGAAAAACTAGGCCATTTCGTTCGTTTTCACCACAGTTTGCTTTGTCTCTAACTGTAGTCTGTCAGCTATTTGACATGGATTATATCACCTTTCCCTCTGACTGCCTCTTTGATTCGTCTACGACTTTACCAGAATGTCAGGAAGCTCTGAGGAGCCAAAGGCTCCGTTCAGGTAAGGATGCATTATCTTCAAAAGAGGCAGAGAAAGCATATTCAAGTACGAAACGAATTTGGCAATAATGATCCAAGAAGCAATGACGCACTGCTCTCAATGCAGCAGCGTCATTCTTTCAGAACATTTTCTTTTAAGTCTATTACAGAATCACCTACGTTGATTGGATGCATAGAGTCTCAACACATGTTGTTCCATCACACGACATGAACCGTAGTGGAGAAGTCTGTGGTTAAAGTCCGTCGGAGCCAATGTCTAGTAAAATATAATGAGGATCCAGAGGTTAGTATTGAAGATTTAATATGTTACGGTAAAACTTTGTATTATTACGAGCAAACTTTTGAGAAATCTGCAGGCCTGATCCGGACAGAAATATTTCCCGCAGTTCTCGTATCAAAAAGAAAGTTATATATCGACGTAAAAATTGCTTGCTTTTTGTTGTGACATGTCTTATACCGCCTCTGTGATCTAGTGCTCAGAGTTCCTGCCTAAAAATTCAGAGGTTCCGGGTTCGATTCTTGGCTCTAAAAGATTTTCTGAGAATTAGTGGGTCTGGAACGGGGTTCACTCAGCCTCGTGAGAATAACTGAGGAGCTTTTTCGATGAAATAGCGGCTCCGGTCTAGAAAACCAAGATTGATGGCCATGGGGATCCATTGCCCTGACCAAATGACACTTTCTATCCACAAAAGTTGGCACTAACTTCGCCGGCATGGGGTTATTTTGTTATGGGATAAACAAAATCATAATCATGCATCTTTGCTGAGGGAACTCAAAGAAAGTAATCCCGATTATTTCAATAAGCTAGCAGATGTGCATATGCATAACGATTCCGGGCCAGTTCCTCTTCTTATTGCCTCTAGATTCTCAAGTCGTGGATATGAACTCTCAATGCTCTTTCATGAATAGCCTAAAACAGAGGACGAGGATGGTCGAGGGCCTTCAATGTAAAATTTAATCAAAATCAGCCCAGTGGTTCGCAAGTTATGAGATGATACAGCATAAAAAACCTTTTGTCTAAATATCGCTGAAACCTTAAAACTTACGGCGAGAAAATGTAATAGTTATGAAGTGTGTTTCATTTCCCTCTGGACATATTTCGGAATAATTTTGCGCATATAATGATTGACGAGTTACGCATGAAATGAGAGCAGTAAGTCTTTATGCAGAGCGCCCATTACTTTTGCCCGGTTTCAACAGTAACTGGAATGAACAAACGAACGTTAGTAAAATTCTCCAATATGAAGATGTCACTGGAAATCATTATACTTCTAACCCATTCTAAACCTACTTTCAGTACCGCAGCTAGACTCTGGAACAAGTTTGGATAGGCTTGGATTGATGCTACATCTGTCCATACACAGAGCGTTACCTGCGCAATTTGTTCAGAAAATCTCTGTGTATACAGCCGCGCTCTGGAGTTAAAGCATCCCTAGATTATCAAAAAACGTCTGAAAATTCGTCAAAAAGGTTATAAATCTATTCAATGTTCTTGCCCCGGAGTTTCGTAAGTATATTTTAATCTCCTATTTATTTCTACGGAAGCCTCTTTGTCGAAGAAATCAAGAAATAATACCCAAATATTTCACAATGTTAATAGAAAGTCCGTCGAGTGTAACAATTTGTAGGTCACTTCTTTATCACTTCTGCCTTACATGTTTCGGTTAGACACAACCATCATCAGAGGCACTTAGTGCAATTAAGAAAACACTGTCGTGACCTACAAATTGTTACACTCGACGGACTTTCTATTAACATTGTGATTGATAGTGTAACGGACCAAAAACGAAACAATTCAAAATACCCAAATATTTGTTTTTTGTTTTATTTATACAATTTTAGGACCTTATTATTTATCCTCAACTGAGCACATATCTACTTTTTCACTTCCTAACCCGCAAAATACTTTCACCTTGAGGCTGACAGGATTGAAGAAACTCTGAACATATTAATCTTACACTTTATCTCAAACATTATATAGGTCGTACGCAGCAAAAACTTTAGTTATGATGACACTGACTTTCTTCCGGAGACTAGTATGGAAAACAGTGTACTGTAAAATCGTTCTGAAATACGCTCAAAATTGGCAGAACAGTTTTGTAAACAAAATAAAGTTGCCCGTTCAACAAGGGCATTATATAACAGCAAGCATAATTTACATAATTTATATGGAACACGATCAATTTGATTATTTTAACAAACCGTCTGATCTTAGAATGGAATATTTCTTTAGTGTACTTGCAGTAATTCCGAATAACACTTACACCTCGAGCATTACAGCGTAAGATTCAAGTGTAACAATTCCGCTAGCGTGAACGACTGCAAAAATCTTACAACACGTGTCATTTAAGTGAAAAACTGTTCAGTTACATAAGAACATGCTTCAGATATGTCATATGCTAGGAAATTAAACTCTTAGACTTCTTTTGATTTGTGTGTTGGTCATAAAGAATATGATAGAAATTCTACTCCCAGTTTGCACACAGGCCTAATTTCGTTAAACGGTCACCCCGCAGTAAGTATCGCTTAAATGGACCATCCTCTTGTTAACATCTGCTGAATTATATATTACATTTGTTAATGATGCTCTATCAACCTAAAAAGTATCTATGATTCATTATTGTATAGTTGTTGAAATGGTGAGATTTGTTCGGCGATACATAAAAATTAAGAGAAAATTATTATTCTATTATAAAATTCGTTATATATATTTTTGTTCTAAAATATTTTTTTCGTTAAAATATTAACCACTTATTTTTAAATCAGGATTATATGATCAGATATGCGTATATGTATATAAAAATTAACGTACGTTACCTAAAATTCAGATAGAAAATTGTCAACTTCGATGGGAAAGGTTTCTCACTTTCCTGGCAAGTTTCATTCTTTTAAACAAAGAAATTTTCTGTATAAAATAATGNTTTATTAAACCGAAACATGTAAGGCAGAAGTGATAAAGAAGTGACCCTACAAATTGTTACACTCGACGGACTTTCTATTGACTTTCTATTATAATTTTCACGAAACGAGTTCTCATGCGGCTGGATACCTTCTCGTCGTGAAGGAGAATGAAGCGTAACTAACCAATTGCATTTTTGTTACCAGGATTTACTGCTGATACGAACACACTCGATGATTATTTAGGTCAAATAATCATGTCTGAAGAAGATATCAGTTCCGCTCTTTTTGATGATCTCATATATTTGCTTCGTTAAGAGATGTAAAATGCTTTGTATAGAATTGTGATGCTTGAGCATTCTGTGGCCACGAAAGGACTGCCAGGACTGCAAATCTGCTCACCACAACGGGAAATGTGAACCAGCATAATATTCGTTCGGATTCCTGCGTCTTACAATACGAAATAAATCCTATGACTTTTCCAGACATATATTTTACATTTTTTTAAAGAGTCTTCCATCCTTATCTGTCTAAACTGAAGTCTCCGTATTCTTGTTGTTTGTCCACGTGACCAGTTCTACAAATATGTACGAGTATGTTACTTCCAAGTATTTCCTACACAAACCACTGTGGTTCACCGTAATGCAAAGCTGTCCGTGCTCTGATTATTTAAATCCTTATATTCCTCGGTGCTCTCATACAGTGTCCGCTTAAATTATAAAATTCTTCCCGTTGACGGTTGGTCAGAGAAAGTCAGCAACTCCTGTGCTAGACCTAAAGCGATGTATTACAGAACATCTAGTTGCTACTAGCGACAACCTGATTGGACAGCTGTGGAACTGAGAAAGGGTAAAATCCTGAAAGGAAGTGTTCCATACTTAAGGCATATACAACATGTCACCTGATCCAAAGGCAGTTCCAGTGAGGATACAATGAGAATTTTATTTCTACATTTAAAATATGTAAACATTTACTGCCACAGAAAGTCTCAGCTGGAAAGATGTGTACTCTAGAAGAGAAGTTCACCCAGCCATTGTCCGGAAATTGGTGAGCTCCAATTGTTCACTCTGACATCCTTATTATAAGTCACACTGCAAGAAATGGAAAATTCAAAACTTCCGCGTATATTGTTAATAAATAAGTGACAGATCTTTCGTAGTGGCTTCATTATTTTGTTAAAAATAAAAATAAAATACTGACTCTTGACTTCAACAAAACCTTTCAATTTATTATTATTATTATTATTATTATTATTATTATTATTATTAGTGCTGTGAGACTGAGTCCACTTGGTACTGCGACCACTACTGGCCTATTGTACCAGCCCCAGATGATAAATGATGGTGTTTGCGGAGAAAATGGTGGAATGAAAATTGGCAGGGGAAACCGAAGTAATCAGAGGAAACCTGCCCCAGCGCCACTTTGCTCATCACAAATTTCACACTACCAGACCCGGGCTCGAACAGGGACCGCCGCGGTGGGAAACCAAAGACTAATATCTTTCACTTGCTTCCCTTCGTTCAGTGAAACATATTTCAGTGTTATTTCTGCTATAGGGGAGAGAAAGCTGCAACAGTCATACCTACATTCTGAATAATCTCTTCGGGTACTAGGCATTTCATAATCTACTTAACAGGTTTTTAGCCTTCTATTTCTCCTTCCAAATATATTTTAAATTCAAGTTTCTCTCTCTCTCTCTCTCCTTTTTGCCGTTTCTCTTTCCCATCTTTCTCATTCTGATTCCAGCTGATTGAAAGCAGTCAGAACAGTTTTCCAGGACTCCTATCTCGGAAATTGTAAACTACAGATTTTTTTTTCCAGTGATTCTAATTCCGTCCTAACATTATATTCGTTCCATGGTATTCTTGTATAAATAAAAATAATCAAAGCCGTTTTCCATTACTCAAGCCTCAGATGTTTAAACTAAGACCTTCTGTACATAATTCATAAGGCCTAATTTCCTGTTGCACATATATCCACTGCTACCGGTCTCACAGAGCAATGTAATTCAGTTCGTGGGTTAGCGTCCTGAACCCATGGGCTAATGACCATGTGACTGAATCCTACACTCAGCGTAATGATCACCACTGAAGTAAGTACTGAAGAGTTGCAGGATACAATATTTTTTAGTAAAAATGCATACATCTACCGCAACTGAGGCTTTTAACAATTTTCCTCACTATGTAAGATTTGAGGCTTTCACGGCGGTGACTATGAAGAAAGCAGTCTGCTTTTACCGGTTCTCACGGTCTCTTTGCTTGCAGATTTCTTATATATTTTTTCTTCTACCCTGAAGATGGAGGCGATACGTTCCTCCGAAACGTCGGTTAACACCACATATACACGGTGCCAAATCCCAGAAGACTGCTTTCTTCAATTTTCCTCACTCTCTGGAAGCAAATTGGAACAGGCCACGACCCTTGTTCCATCCTTCTGAGTTTGCCTTTCACAGTAATCCTAAAAATAGATCATGATAGGCAATCGACGGCCCTTGCAAAAGTTTAGTCCGTCCTAGGACGTTGTCCGGATGTTATTAATGATACCACCATTTATTGGCTGTGCCTTTTCACGCATTGTATTGTAATCTTAAGGAACTCGAATGGAAACGATAATGCAAGTT